ATGTTTGTAGCAAGCCTTGGCAATTGAGGGAGACCCTGTCTCAAGATACAACAAAAAGGGCTAGGGATGTAACTCAGTGGTAGAGTCCCCGGGGTGAGTTCAATCCACAGAACCACACACACACATAAAAAAAAAAGAAAAAAACAGGCCCCTCTTTAGGTAGATACTATAAAGCCTTTTAAGAAATTCACTGAGACTGGGTGTGATGGTACATGCCTATATTCCCAGGTATTTGAGGCTAAGGCAGGAGGATTTGCAAGTTCAAGGCCAGCACAAGCAATTTCTTGAGACCCTGTCTCAAAATAAAATATAAAAAGGTCCGAGGATTTAGTTCAGTGGCAAAGCACTTGCTTAGCTTGTGTAAAGCTCTGTGTTTAATCCTCAGTACCAAAAAAAAAAAAAAAAAAAAAAAATTCATTGAAAAAGAAGGGGTCAAGCAGGAACCAGGCAACCACTGAATGATGTCTATGCAAATGACAGAGCATAGCAAAGACTTCAATAAGTACGTATTTTATTTTATTTTACAATAGGCAAAGCTCCTTGAGACAGGCCTAGTCACAGGTAACATAGACTCAAGCTAATCCCTACCATCCAAGCTGATCACATCAGCACAAAGATGGCTAGGGATCCCGCTTTTTATATGTGTAGGAACCCAGAGCTTTCCCTCCTTCCCTCTAACCAGGGCCTGTACACTGTAATCCTTATTGATCCTGTGCAGTACTCCACATCGACATTTTGTTTATCCTTCTCCATTCAGCTTTCCCCATATCACTCTGCCCAGGTCTTAGCCCTTTATATCACAGTATATACATATAAAGGCAGACACTTTCTAATTTTTTGTTGTTGTTGTACTTGGGATTGAACCTAGAGGCCCTCTACCACTGACCCACACCCCTAGCCCTTTTTACTTAATTTTGAGGCATGATCTTGCTAAGTTGCCAAAGCTGGCCTTGAACTAGTAATCTTCCTGCCTCAGTCTCTGGAGTCTCTGGGATCATAGGTTGGTGCCACCACATCCAACTTGATAGCACCTTTTTAAATAAAATATAAGAAGCATTTTCAAACATTTTATACTTTCATCTAAGGGAAACAAATGATGCTTCTAATGGTTTAGTGACTCTATTTCCTTTTGCAGCTGATTTGCACAGAAACGAATGCCCTCTTTGAGTCTATTACAACATATGTCTCCTGAAGGAACAAACGGACAGTGGGAAGAGGTCAAGAGGAGGGAAGTGTGAGGTAAGAGTAGTTAAAATTCACTCTTGGAGAACAATGTTTATAGAGTATCATCTTACTCTGGTGATTCCACCCAGGCCCAAATAACATGGGCACTCTAACCCTTATTATGTGCAACAGATCCACTGCTAAGTAAGTCCTCTGCACAACCAGAAAGAGCTGAGAGCACTGAATGAAAGTTTAAAAGACCTGGAAAAGCAAAGGGAGGGCATGGCAAGATGCCAGGATTTATCACTGTCATGAGACTTGGCCTGACACAGTCATTGTATAGAGCAGGTTTCATGTATATCATTACATCAGTATCCAAGGAGGTGGAGCGTCTTATAAAAGGGACTCCACCTGAGCTCCTTTTGTTAACTGACAAAAAAGACCCAAGGGCAGGCTTTAAGGATTATCCTCCTATGAATTCCCAGCATATTTGGTGAGCTTCTCTACCTTGTCATTTTCTACTCTGTGAGGAGGGCTGATTTCAGCTTGCTGCAGCAGGATCGGAAGATGGATCCGCATCACAGGCTCCGGACTAATGCTGCTGACAGCAAAATGCTGAAGAAACCTAGAAAAACAAAGACAGTGCTAACATGTCACCATCACCAGCTTTGCCTGATCTGCCCACACAGCAACTTCTTACTGAACCGCAAAAAATAAGCCTTAGAGAAATTCTCTCTAGAGAATAAAATTGTATATGGTGCATCACTATTACCTTTTTACAAGGATCCCTAAGAAACTATGGAGAAAAGGGGGGTTTTAGAAAGGACCAACCCTGAGGTTTCTGACATTTCAAAAGCTAGAACATTAAACATCTAAAATCAGACACCCAAAGCTCACCAGTCCAGCTCTGGGAGTTTAGCTGAGAGCAGCTTTGAAGAACTCCACTTCTCCCCAGCAGGATGGTTCAGGGCACGAAAGAGTTTCTGTGCACTAGAGTGCCTAGAATACCAAAAGATCACAGATTAGAATTCCACTTCCATACAGCATGCATACTTTACACAACTGGTTCTGAGGTAGGCTTTCAAGCCAAATCCCATGACAGAGTCAATGCTTCCAAAATAAGCATCTCACTGACTTAAAATGTGGTATGAGTGCATGACGACTGGCATGCCCACATAAGATGAATGGTCTGAAAGCCCTTGACAGTAGTATCAGTTTCTGATTCTTAGTAGATTTCATTTCTCTTGCCTTCTATTTCCCAAAAGCACTAGCTACTTGCAAGTTGGCAACACTGAAATGACTGCTGGCCCTTTCAGAAGCCAAGACCCCTGTGTTACATAATGTAAGTCATCCTGCAGAAAGCACACCCACAAAGCTTAGGGAAGCAAGCACAAACACTGAAGGCAGCCACTTACAATTTCTTTTGTTCCACAGATAATCCATCTTCCTGGATCACTTTTAAAGAGAGCCCTGAATTATCCTGCTGTTGCCAGGGGGAGAAGACCTAAACAAAACAGAATTTGAGCAAAGAATACTTTAAACCCAACAACAGGATATGGAACCCACATGGGGATTTGATGATTGTTGAAAATCTAGACTGTCTGTGCAGAGAAAAACCATTTTAACAAACAGGGTTTTGTTGTTGTTGCTGTTTTAAATAAGATCTGAAGCAATTTTGTTCTGTATTTTTCAGAATCAGAACTATCTTTTTGGGTTCCGCTCCTTGAAGATTCTGTTCTTCCAGAGGTCAGGAAGCCTTGAAGAAGGTGCTAGGAAACAGGGGCATGCTCTTTCCTGGAGATAAAGTAGATATCAGTGGTTTAAGTAACTTCTGTCTAGAGGCAGAAGAATGGCTGAAGAGAATCTGAAAGGCTGTCTCTAGGTTCCCAGATTGAAAGGGCAACAGCAAGGAGGTAGAAAGTCCAGGAAATAGTTAGGGGGAAGAATAGACTAACTGAAGAAGCCAATCTGCAGCTGAAGTCAGCTCTTGTTCCTCCACATTCTGTGAATCTGTCCTGAGGGAGGGACACTGTCCTCTCACAAGCTGCTGTAATCACACCTTTCCAAGAATCTCCCCCAGTCATGAAGCTGACCATCGGTTTGATTGGCTGCTGCCTGGTCTCTAAGTGGGTCAGATAATTCCTGTGCAATCTGTGCTAAGTACCTACAATTGGCCAGCTGCCAGGTGGGACTATTCAAAAGGACAGGGCTGTGACCCATAGGGAAGGAGAGCCTGGGATAAGGTGGAGAGCTCTAGTTCAATAGGTAGGTCCTATGATTTGATAAAATGGCTGAAAGAAAATAAGTCTAATTAGGATTTAAAGGGGACAAAGCAGCCAAGTGTGGAAGTGCATGCCTATAATCCCAGAAACTCAGGAGGCTGAGGCAGTAGGTTTTCAAGTTTGAGGCCAGCCTTAGGAAATTTAGCAAGACCCAATAAGCAATTTAGCAAGACCTTGTTTCAAAAAATAAAGAGAGATGGGGATGTAGCTCAGTGGTAAAGCGCCCCTATTTCAATCCCCAGGACCAAGAAAAAAGTGGGGGAAGGGAAAAGTAGTTTTTTTTTTAACTTTAAGTTTTTGCTTGTTTTTTGTTTTAAAGGCTGAAAACCCTTTTATTCAATTTCCTTTAGGCTCTTACTCCTCACTAGCAAGAGCACCATGCCAGAACCAAAAGAATACATAGAGAAGTTGCCTCTGTGCCAGGCCCTCTCACACTACACCATTAGCTCTGACACACTATCTTACTGTTTAAATTGCTAAGGAAAAAAAATGATGGGATGTTACCTCTGAGTAAAATGCTTGATATATCTTTGATTTGGGGAAAAGAGCAATCATCAGAAAGTTGCTTGATCCATGGAAATGAACTGGGAGATGAGGAAGCAATGAGCTTCTGAAGTTGATAAAAAGGGCAGCCACAACACTGGTAGAATCCTAAGGAGAAAAAAAAAATTGCATTAGCAAGAAAACTCATTTTCATGATGCCTGTCCTCAGAACTAAAATCAGAATACACAAGAACAATTTCAGTGCAGTTATTTCACACTGAGTGATTTACTGGGGTTCAATAATAGATGGGCTTTCCAATACCATTATAGGAGATTGGGCAGCACAGGAATTTTTTTCCAAAAATAAAAATGTCATCTCAAATTCCTTCTAAAATATTAACACCTTAATCAGATATATGATTTGCAAATACTGTCTCCCATTCTTTGGTTCTTTCTACTCACATGAGTGTCTTTTGATGTGCAAAAGTTTAATTTTGGATAAAGTTTAATTTATATATTATTTCTTTTGCTATTTGTGCTTTCAATGCAGTATCTAAGAAATAACTGACAAACCCAATGTCATGAAGCTTTTCCTCTATGTTTTTTTAAAAACAGTTCATCATTTTGCTTTTATATTTAGATTTTTTTATTCATTTTTAATACTTTTTAAATTTTGTTATATATGACAGCAGAATGCATTATAATTCATATTACACATATACAGCACAAATTTTCATATCTCTGGTTGTACACAAAGCAGAGTCACACCATTCGTGTCTTCATACATGTACTTAGGATAATGATGTCCATCTCATTCCACCATCCTTCCTACTCTCAGGCCTCCTTCCTTCCCCTCCCTCTCCTTAGATTTTTTTATTCATTTTGAGTTAATTTTTCTACTTAATTTGCATGGGATATCCAGTTTTCCCAGCACATTTCTTGAAAGACTGTGCTTTCCTCACTGAATGGTTTTGGCATCCTTATCAAAAATCATTTGATCATAAATGCAAGAGTTTATTTCTGGGCTCTCTATTCTATTTTGCTGGTCTATACATCAGACTTTATGTCAGTACTACACTGTTAGGTTACTGAAACTTTAAGTTTTGAAATCAAAGTTAGAGAGCTCCAAGTTTGTTTTTCTTTTTCAAGACTGTCTTAGCTAATTGAGGCCCTTTTAAAATTTCATATAAATTTTAGGATGGTTTTTCTACTTCTGTAAAAATTTATATACTGCAAAAAATGCCACTGGGATTTTGATAGGACTGCACGGAATCTACAAATTGCTTTGGGTAGTATTGTCATTTTTTTAACTACATTTTTTTAAAAAATACTTATTTTTTAGTTGTAGTTGGACACAATAGCCTTATTTTATGTATTTATTTTTTTATGTGGTGCTGAGTTAATTTTCTACTATAGTTGAAAGCACTCTACCACTGAGCCACAACCCCAGTCCCAGTATTGTCATTTTAGTAATATTAAATGTTCTGATCCATGAAAATGAATGTCTTTCTATTCATTTAGATTGTCTTTAATTTTTCAGTAATGTTTCATAGTTTTGGATAAACAAATCTTTTATTTCCTCATTGAAATTTATTCCTAAGTATTTTACTCTTTTTGATGCTACTGTAAATGGAATTGCTGGGGGTGTGGGGGGGTTGGTACAGGGTATTGAACTCAGGGGCACTCTACTACTGAACCACATCCCCAGCCCTATTTTGTATTTTTTTTTAGGAACAGGGTCTCACTGAGTTGCTTAGCACCTTGCTTTTGCTGAGGCTGGCTTGGAACTTGTGATCCTCCTGCCTCAGCCTCTGGAACCACGAGAATTACAGGTGTGTACCACTGCACCTGGCTTGGAATTGCTTTCTTTCTTTCTTTTTTTTTTTTTTTTTTTTTTTTGCAGTTATAGATGGACAGCATGCCTTTATTTGTTCAGTATTTTATGCGGTGCTAAGGATCGAACCCAGAGCCTCACACATGCTAAGTAAGTGCTCTGCCACTGAGCTATGGCCCCAGCCCTTGGAATTGCTTTCTTAATATCCTTTTCAGATTGCTCATTATTAGGAAGTAGAAATGCAATTAATTTTTGTATGTTGATTTTTTACCATACAACTTTGGTGAATTATTAGTTTTAGAAGCTTCTTATGGAATGATTAAGGTTTTGCAGATGTGAGGTCATGCCATGTATGAACAGTTATAATGTTACTTATTTTTTTCCAATTTAGATACCTTTTATTTCTTCTTTTTGTCTAATTGCTTTCGCTAGATCTTGCAAAACTGTTAGAATAAAAGTGGCAAAAGCAGGCTGAAATCCTAATCTTATTCCTGATATTAGAGGGAAAGGGCTTTGTTTTTTGTTTTTAAAGATCAAGTAGTTTGTTCATTAAATAAATTTTTGGAAAAAATAGAACAGGGAATGAAGGTTAAAAAATTGATAAAAAGTCTCATCCTTAACCCAACTATAGCTAATATTTTGGCTTTTTTTTTTCTATTTTTGTTTTTTAACTCACTGCCTTACCCTTTTTTAAAAAATATTTTTTTTAGTTATAGATGGACCTTTATTTCATTTATTTATTTTTATGTGGTACTGAAGATTGAACCCAGGGCCTCACACATGCTAGGCAAATACTCTTATCACTGAGCCACAGCCCTGGCCCCTGACTTACCTTTTTGATGTGGTAGAAAATCATATTTACAGTTCCACATTATTTTTAAAATTTATTTATTTTTGGTGCTACTGGGAATTGAACCCAAGGGCACTTTACTACTAAGCTATATCCTCATCCTTTCTTAAATTTTTGAGATGAGAGTCTCCCTCAGTTACTGAAGCTGGCCTAGAATTTATAATCCTCCTGCCTCAGCCTCCCAAATCGCTGGGATTACAAGGATCTGCTACCACAACTGGGTCCATATCCTGTTTGCTTTTTTTTT